GCATTACACCTAATCTTAACTACTTAGTACATATTTTTTTAAATGTGACTTCATTTACAGTTCCAATTTGTTTAAATTATATTAGAAGAGTTACTAGTACATGAGAATATTAAAAATATAGCTGTCAACCAATGGTTGTTGGTGCCAATTCAAGGCCAAACAGGAATCTCCAACTTGGGGTGCAATAAAGAAGGAAACTTAATTCAGTGCAAAGCAGCCCAATTGTATTTTAGCTGAGGAGCAGAGCAGAGCTGTCTAGCCAGAGGTCTGCTTTGCGCAGCACTGTTCTAGTCTGCTGCACTCCACAACGGTTCCCTTGGCTTTCTCCACTCTGTGCCAGTCTGCTTCATCTGCTCTGATGAGACATATTCTATTTTTCAGCTCAGGCAGGGAGATGAGTATCCAATCCTCAGTGAAAAGGGAAAGTGCCGTTTCAGGGCCAGAGGGGAGCTGGCTTATTAGAGAGAAGTCCCCTCCCCGTTCCTGATTGGTCTGTCCTCATGCAAATGAGAACTCCAAATCCTCACAGTTTGATTAGCCAATAAAGCACTGCCCTGATTGATCAGAATAGAGCCTCTCTCAATGGCTGCAGCTGTGCAGCTCAGATGAGGAAGGCCTATTGGTTGAAACAGGATTCCAGGAACTCCTTTGTTAGGGCAGGAACACTGCAGGAAGGCAGGCAGTTTAGTACAGGCTTCTTCATGAAGTGCAGTTTCTGTGAGAGGCCCCTGTGCAGAAATGGCTGCCAGGTTCGGTTTTTTGTTTTTCAATTTGAGTCCACCAGGAGCCCTCCTTAGTAGGTATCTTTTTTTCTCAGATTTACATTTATTAACTAACATTTATTAACTACTATATGCTACGACCTGTCCTAGCATTTTTGTCATTATTTAGTTTAATCCCAAACAATTCAATGAGGTAGTTACATAATTAATTTTAAGTTTTATCCAAATTATTATATTTTCACCTATTTTATTAATATGGGTAGGATTATTATTTTTTTTAAAATAAAAATATCTGGAAAAGTAAACTAATTAAAGTGAAAAGCAAAGGTAAATCTTGTATCTCAGAAGACATACAGAACAAATTGAATCTTTCTAACCTTCTTTTCCTGCTCACTGCATGAACACTTTAGATCCTTTGTGACATACATGGAATTTCAAAGGTAATTGCTAAAACTTAGTATCAGAAATGCTCCAGAAAACATTTTTTAACTTTCCACTTACATTATATGTATATAAGATAAAATATTTGTTCTATTTTATAGAATTACTTAGTAATAACTTTTGCAATGAATTGTAACCATGAATTTATAAACTATATTGAATAAAATACTTTATAGAATCATGATTTGGTAGAATTTAAAAGATTTGATGTGTAATTGATAAGGCATATGGAGGGAAAGTTTAGATAAATCTTGATGCAATAATTAAATGATCTTTTTCACTGAATAAAATTTTGCTTCTTTTTATTTAAAGGATAGAACATGCATAAAATTATAACAATTTCAGCACACAAAGCATTCCCTGATTATTGGACATTTTTTAAATAATGAGACTTGCTTTCTTTTGCATTGCAATTATAATAAAACATCTTAAAGTTTGAAAAGGAAATAAATTTGAACATTTGAAAAAGTTCTTATCTAAGCTTACACAAGTCAATGTGTTACTGTGTGGTAGCACTGTATATGGATGGTTTTAGCTCAGAAAAATTGTCACTTTGGTCACAGTCAGGATAACATATGTCTACCTGTGGGGAAATGGTATCATTATGGAAAACATAATTTTTCAAGAAACAAGTGACAACTATGCTAACAATGAATTACAACCTTCTTTTAAGAAACATAATATAACATTTATTTAAACAAATAAATATGTAGTTACAGTACATTCATATTTCAATACTACAATTACATTTCTGGGAGCAAATTTGACAACTACAGTGTTCTTTACATGGGAATTAAGAAGTCAATCAAAAAAACTAAGCTCATATAAATACTAGGGGCCCAGTGCACAAATTTGTGTACCTTGAAAGGAACTGTGGGCCATGAGGCTGCAGTAGGCACAGGGGCTGGTCTCGGCCCATCCTCCACTCCCCTGCCTGGCCCCTCTTGCTGCTGCTCCGGGTCCCCTCTCTGCCTGCAGCCCTGCTCCTGCCACCACTGCTCCCATGTGCTGAGGGCACTGGACCACTTGCACCCGCTGACAGCGCAGAGCGATTGGGGCTGGTGCCAGCAGCGGTGAGAGGGGGGCTGGCGCCGTCAGCAGGTGCAAGTGGTGGCTGCTGCCCTGATTGCCCCACAGGAGCAGGGGGAGATGTAGAAGCCCTTAGGGGCAATCAGGGCCGGCAGCTGCTGCTTTCACCCGCTGATGGCGCCAAGTGAGTGGGACCGGCGCTGGGCACAGGCAGCAGATGTGAGAGGTGGCTCCAGTGCCGGCTGGCTATAGGTGTGAGAGGGGCCGGCGCTGGTAGTGGGTGCGAGTGCTGGGCGGGACTGCGGTATGTGGGAACAAAGAATTTTCAGTAACCACCAGAGGCTTGCCCCGATGACAGCAACCAGCACCCCACCTTGGTCTGGCGCCCCCGCTCACCTGCTCCACCATCCCGCCACAGCCAGCACATGCCATGTTCCACACACACCCCTTGATGGTCAGCACACGTCATAGTGACCGGTTGTTCCAGTTGTTCCACCGTTTGGTCTATTTGCATACTAGGATTCTCTGATGTGATGTTAGCACAAACCATACTAACTCAAGCTCCCTCCAATTCATTGTGACCCCAGCTAGTAGGGTGCCTAAAAGATGACTGCCTTATAGTCTGTCCCTTTATTCACTCACCAGACATCAGAAAGAACAATCCTTTAAAAGTACACTTAATTTATCTTCCAAAGTTTGCAGAATTGCAGTTTGGAATGATAGCAGGGAATACTCAATAAAGTATTTTTATTATTATGAAAAATTAAAAAAGTATATATCTACCAACTTTTTGCCAAACATTGTACTAAAGCTTTTACACATTGCTTTTCATTCAATCCTTATAAAAATCCAATGAGGTTGGTAATATTATCCTTGTTTCTTCAGTTAAGGCAACTGACATTTAAAGAATTGATAAAATTTCTCAAGTCATGTGGCTGGTAAGAAGCAAAAGAAATGACATAAGAACCAAATATTGTCCAATATCAAGGCTACCCTCTCAGTCTTAATCACTATCCTCCATTTCCTATTACTATAATACTTGGGTTGCTTTCACAATTTTTTTTCTGACAAATGTGTACTTTATTCATATTCTCTTAAAAAAGTGATAAAGGATTTTTAAATTAAGGAAGGCCTGGTTATGTTGAATTGAATTACAAAGCAATGGGTGATAGATTAAGATAATTTATCTTTAGAAGGAGGGTTAGTCCTACAAAAAGCTTTTGATTTTGTGAGTCCTGACAATTTAAGAAAATTCAGATTCCGTTTTTGAATTTTATTTCAGCACTCCAGTGAACGTATGTTCTGGTTATGTTGATTTCTGGGCTCATAACTGTTATATAAATCATTAAGTGATAGCGTATTTCAATATTGCCTCAGGGAAGAATTTGTGTGTATTACTGGCATATCCTTTCAACCATGCATTTATTACTTTCATCTATTAAAACAAAACAACAACATTGAAAACCAACCAAGAGACCATATATAACAAAAAATAATCATTCTTTAGCAGGTAATGATAAATTGCTATGGAAGACAAACTGGTTTCCTATCAAGTTTGGAAATAACACAGTCTAATTAGTTTCTTGTCATGCTCGAATCAGCAGGTGAAAGGATACTTCGATCTAAAGATTAATTCATTATATATTTCAAGCCTAATAAATTGGAAGTAAGCAACTCAGTAAGCTTCTTTCTTTATAGTTAGCTTTTCCAGGTTATGCAAATAGATCATGATTCAGGGTTTTTACATTGGCAATTCATCTTGGTATTTTATGATAAAAGGGGAGCTTAATTGCTTCCTTCAATTATTTTTATGAATAACCTGGTTATTGCTTTACATCTCAAAGATGTTTTACTAATGCTATGTTCTGGACTAATTACTAACACTTTTACAAGGTGATCCTTTAAATGCCACCTGACCCTCCTACTTCTCATCAACAATTTATTCTAATAGCCTTGTAAACTCCTTACTTCTAGTGGATTCTGATTCCAACCATCCTACATTTGCCACCAAAGTACAGAAATAGCTTGTTTTATTGTGTTTTACTTTATTGTGTTTCACAGGTATTACTTTTTTTTTTTTTTCAAATGAAAGGTAAGACCTTTCACCGCAAAAAGACTACAACTTGCTTTATTGCAGTTCTCACTTTATTATGGTGGTCTGAAACCAAACCCACAGTATTTCTAAGGCATGCTTGTAACTCAATTTATTGGGATGGTTTGGAACAAAATCCACAACTTCTCTGAGTTATGCCTATAATTTAATTTTATTCTCCTGCTCAAATAATTGAGTGATTATTCTTTTGTAATATTATTGAACTCTCACTATGTACTTTGTTGACTAATTCAATGTAACTAAGTTAAAATCTATAATGTCACCATGAATATTTTCAAAGTTTCATTAGGCTACTTTAGCTTGATACTGCTTAAATAGATATCTACTTGGGACATCAATTTTACACTCATAGGGAGAAGCCTCATGTTAATATATTTTCATAAACTTTAATATAAAGTAATGATATAATTCCTTCAGCAAGGGAAACAAAGGAGAAAAAAAATGAGACTACATCAAACTAAAATGTTTTTGCACAGCAAAGGAAACCATCAACAAAATGAAAAGATAGCTCACTGAATGGAAGAACATATTCACCAATGATACATTTGATAAGGGATTAATATCAAAAATTTATAAAGAATTGTCTACAACCCAACATGAAAAACACAAAACAATCCAAATACTAAATGGGCAGAGGACCTACATAGATACTTCTTCAAAGAGGAAATACAGATAACTAATAGAAATACAAAAATCACTAGTCATAAGATAAATGCAAATTAAAACTACAATGATAGAGCACCTCATACCTAGAGGATATTATGCTAAGTGAAATAAGCCAGAGAAACAAAAATATAAGATTTCACTTATACGTAGAATCTAAAGAGCAAAATAAACAAACAAAATAGAAACAGAATCATAGATACAGAGAACAAACTGTTACCAGAGAGGAGGAGTTTGGAGGCTAGGTGAAAAAAGTGAAGG